TGACTTGGGGACGCCTGGGGTTCTTAAGTTGAATCTGTATGTAAGAACTGGCGTCCAGATTCAGCCTGTTGAAACTGATCAGCGGCTGATTCCAGGAAGCCCGGGGCAGAGCAACTCTTCCTCGGGCTTCCTGTAGTCAGCCGCTGGTCAGTTTCAGCAGCGGCTCAATCTGGACGCCAGTTCCGACTTACATACAGATTCAACTTAAGAACAAACCTACAGTCCCTATCTTGTACGTAACCCGGGGACTGCCTGTATTTACATTCTACTTTAATGGCTAAGCTGAGTTTAGTGTGTCATGTTTCTATTGCAGTATTGTTAAGAAATTTGCTTAGGACTGTCAGTGTGTACTCCCTTAATGAATTTTAATTCTAATCTTGAGGCAAGAGAAGAAATGAGTTCGTTTCTTCCAAAAAATGTAAAACCAGGCTCATTTAGCCAACTTCCCTACAACACTGATAATTATTCCATCTCCAAAGATACCAATTTTTCAAGACTCAGGAGAACTTTTCCTCCAAGCCTATTTTAAGACAGCAAACAATAAAGACGCAAATGCTTTTCACAGCCCATTAGTTGACTTTGGATGAAAGTGCACAGTTCCCAAAGACAGCATTAGAATGGTGAATAGCTATAAAGGCCGATCAGAATGTCCCATGATTTTTAGAATTTTGCTGCATTCTTGTATACCTGAACAGCAACAGATGCCTTTGGGAGCATGCCTCAGAACTCAGGGTTTAACCATTCAGATTCTTTGGACAGCACTTTTATCAAACACTAATTTGTTTTTAATAAAATTGCTGAGACCTACACTGTAAATGACATGCAAGGAAATTTAGCCAGTGTCCCTAGATACAAGTTTCAGAGGGGTAGCCAAGACAAAGAATCATTCACCTTGACAGATTATCTTCAACACTAGATCTTTTAGACTTAAATATAGAGTACTTTCACTCTAGTTTAGAACACAGTGAAGGGAAGCTGAAGTGAAAATCAGTATTCCCTGAAGACAGCCAGTTTCTGAGCTCTCTTTTATTGCTACTAGAACATTAGCCACTAGCATATGTGGGGGGGAAAATCCAACTCTTGCCCAGGAAGAAGTCTCATACTGCCACTTGTTCTCTTCCAGTTACAAAGCAAGCATAATTTGAATCCTCTTTTGACATAGCTTTATCCTGATCCTGCATTCTTGGAACATTTCGGTTCTTCTCACACTAATCAGTGGGAGTCAACACCATATTGCTGTTTAAGTGCAGTACAAGACTGTTTCTCTCTCCTTCAGTAATTTTATTCTAAGACCACTATGGCTTTTTCATAGTCCCTGCAGCGTCAAATACTGGTATGAGTCTTTCTGCAGACAGCTACTTTCTGCTAATTTCATCAGTATTCACCCAAAAAGCATTTTTTGAGTTTACCATTCCTAATTCTGACAGCCAGAAAGCTAGCATTTTATTGAACTGAAACCTGACTCACCAATGACAAAACAAGAACAGAAATGTCTTCCACCTCTATGAGGCTGAAGCTTACACTGTCACAGTGAATGTGCCTATTCACATTACCATCTTTCAGTTCCAGCCTAATTTTACAGGGTTTGTTAAACCAAATGCCAACAGTTTCACTAAGATGTACTCAGTGTTCCCTCTAAGATTTTCCATCCATGAGTGGAGTGAGTTTTGTCTTCTGCACCAATATTGAGGTCATGTTCGCTTTTTCTGATGTGCCACCATAACAATATAAAAATGAATATGATATTTAAGTAAATAAATTTAAATGTTATGGAAGAACAAACACAAACAGCCCTTTCCCAGTCACAAAGACTAAAAAGAGCTATTAAATCAGAACTTTCACCCAAGCATCCTTCTTATTATGGCTGACCCTAAGTGCCAATGTTCTGTATCATGCCATCGGTTACAGATAAGATAAAAAGATATCACCTCCCCCCACACACATAGCTGCAACATTTAACAATAAGCTGTTTTTCTTAAAAGCCCTATGCTGCACTGCTACACAGCTTAGAGTGTTGAAATCTATGACTGTAGGCAAAACACTAGGAAAAGCCTCTGGTGAGAATACTGGCCTGCTCAGTTGGGGAGATCACACTAATCAAGGAGACTGGAAGCCTTGATACTCCAGTCAACAGTGGGAGAGGTGTGAGTATCTGCCCAAGAGAGGTGACAGCTGAAAGGCAGGAGCCTAAACTGAGTGCTCTTATAAGACCTTCAAAAAAAGACAAGTGTCCTGATGTGTGACATGCTCCTATGTGTCACAAGTTACAAAGTTCAAGTTACTGGTGATCTTAGTACATTTTGGTTTTAACTCTATTGTCCTTTTATTTGACTGGCGATGCACAGCCACAGAACAATCCCTGCCTCGGGAAGTGCATGGGATAAGAAGCGAACAGAGGCGTACAAGGAAACAGAGTGCACTGATCAGAACCATGAGAAGTGGGGTCTTGTCCAGCACTCACTGACTTATTGTTGTACAAGCAGCAATATCTGTAGCTTGAAGATCTATGACTTGGCACCAACCAGAAGGGTCTAGATGTGGTACGCATACCCCCAGCAGTGGGCAAGCTCTGGTTTGCCATTACAGGGTTTTCTTGCACACTCCCTGACAATGCATTTTATTTAGTAAGATGGAGCAATCTGATCACAAAGTCCTACAATTCTCCATCTGGGACAGGTATCGGTGGAGACTGTTACTGGAAACCACTGATAAATGCTGCTTACCTATACAAAGGAGAGGCATTAACATCCAGTCCAGGGCCGCTCTCTCCAGGTAAGCTTGGATGAACAGCCCTGGCTAAGGGAGCCCTTTCCCTCTGCAGACTTGGCCCTGCCTCATGGTAGCTTTGTCCAGGTGACCCGCTACCTCCCATGCCCCTGTGCTTGGGACAGGATTGGGCCCAAGCAATGAGAGAGAGAGAGGATAATGAGAGTCAGGGACACACCTCACTCACCAGAAAAGCGGAAGCCCAGATCATGCCCTGCCCAGTGCAGGCCGGGCTGCCAAGAAGCTGCAGCGCCTGGGGCCAGGCTCCAACCCATGGGGTGGTGACAGTGCCATTTTTCCAGCCCCACTTCACCTCGCCAGCTCCCCAGAAGATACGTGAAATCACTGGAGCCAACAGCTACGAGCAGAAAGGGTGGTGTCTGCAGGTTTCCCCCACACCGGGCAGAAAGCAGTGAGTGTTCCCCATGTCCCGCCATTGCAACTGGGATGGGTGGCCCGGGCACGGGGAGCCTGACCGGGTGCTACTGGCCCCTGGGCCTGGCCAGATGCAGATCCCCAAGCAGGGACGCATATCCATCGTGTCTCGACGCCTGGTGCTGGCTGCCTTGCTGCTCCTGGGATGGGGCAGCCGTCCGCCATGTAGCCCCACCCCCAGGAGCAGCTGGAGAAGTGGCTGTGCAGCTCTGCTGAGGGATAGGCGGGACTGCAATTCTTGGTGCACACTCGCGCAGGCACATACCTTACAGCAGTATTTCTTAAACTTAAGACCGAGGAACACCAAACAATTTTTTTTTTTAATGAGGAACACCGAAGATTTTGTTGTTGAACCAAAAAAAGCAGAGGGGGGAGGAAAAAAAAGCAGCCATTTTGAACTCTGTTCTCCGTGGCATATTGGTGTGCCACGGAACACAGTTTAAGAAACACTGCCTTACAGGGAACCCTGGATGCAGCCAGTGATTCCTCTGGGAACTGCTCAATTTCTTTTCTCCATAGAAGGATAAAGTTAGAATGAGGCAAAGTTATCAGATGCAAACTAACAGCCTGAGCCTAGAATAGATAATGTAATTTCTTTTAATGGACCAATTTCTTTGCCTAAACAGATGACAATCTGGCAGCGTGGCTAAGACTGACACCTATCCAAAGTAATTTGGGTATGAAGCCATTTCATACCTTTGCCAAGTAAGATCCTCCTCCAGAAAGATATTTCTGCTAGCTTTTCTACTCCCAACAGGTGTACGTGGCTCCCCAGGGTCCAAAACAGATACACAACAGGTAGAATCAGACAGAGCATTTAAATCTTCCCCAATGGAGTTACTGTCTGTGGAGTGTGCATAGCTTAAAGCTATTTTGCGGCAGTAAGTGCAGGCTCGGAGATCCCCTGTAGAAAGAGGAAGCAAAATGAGTTTAAATAAATTAGATGGAGTAAAAATGTACCATGCTTGAGATGGTCTCAAACTGAGAAAGCAGCGTTTCCCTTTTTGAGATCTTATGCTCTCACATGAGTTTCAGGGGCTATTTGGAGAAAAATATCCTAACCACAAAAGGAAATTCTCCAAGTTCAAAAGCTAATCATATGTTTCACACAGTTCTAGCAACCACCCCCCAAAAAATCTCACTTCTTAAGTTCTGAGTAGCAGTAGTAAAAGAAAGATTACAAATTGGTTGGGAACAAGCTGATTCAATTGTTTCTAGACTTCAGAGTTTAGAGTTTAATATTGAAACTTCTATAATTAAAATGAACTTGTGGAATTGAGTTAATGCATATTAATAAAGCAAGTTTTATTTGTGAATGTACCTTGTCATATTTGACATATCTGCTAGCCAATGACCATCTTTCTTTGTTTCTTAAATCAGACACAGCTGATTTAAGAAATCAGAGTGAATTAAGAGGATTCACTCTTTTCTTATCTAATAAAGCTATTGGTAAAGTTTTCCAAAGCACCTCAGTGCTTTTGGCTCAAGACTCATCGGAAACCAAAAGATTTGGGTTCCCAAGTCACTGAAGTACTTTGGAAAAATGTTAAACACTACTTTCTATGTTGTTACACATGTGTATGCATAAATATATTATTGCACTCTTGGCTTATCTATTTTTACCTTGTTAGCATGGCTTTAGACCAGGGGTGGGCAATAATTTTTGATGGGAAGCCACTCCAAGATTTTGGAAAGTGGTTGAGGGACACACTCTTCCAGGATATTAATGGAGGAGGTGCAGAGTCTGGGATGGAGTTTGGGTGCAGAAGAGAGCTTGGGGTAGGGGATTGGAATGCAAGAGGGAGAATGGGGTCTGGGAAGGAGTTTGGGTGAAGGAGGCGGTTATGACCTAGGGCAGGGGACTGGGACGCAGGATTTTGGGATGTGACCTAGATGAGGAGGGGCTTGTGATCTGGGGCAGGAAACTGGGGTGCCAGATCTGGGAGGGGGCAGAAGGTTTGGTGCAGAGGATTGGGGAAGGGAGGGCTGGGGTGCCAGAGGCAGACGCTGGGTGAAGGTGGCTTGCTACTCCATGCAGCTCCACTCAAGGCATGAGATGGAGAGGAAGGGGGAGGGGAAATGAGGAGGGAGATACACTGCTCCTGCTCCCAACAAAAATTCTTGGCTCCTATCGGCTGGAAACTGAGAGATTGGCCAGTGTCAGCTAGCATATATTGCTGGGAGGTGAGAACAGCATGAGAAATCTCCCTCCTCCCTCCCCAAAGCGAAGAACAGCTGGCTTTCTAAAATGTGACCTGATCTCTGCCTATGGGTTCCAGTAAGGGAGCCGCAGGCCAGATCCGGCCCGCTGGCAGCTTCTTGCCCACCCCTGCTTTACATGAATTGCTAAAATTCAACCCCTTAATTCTTTTGAGACTAGTATTTTGAGTACCTTAGATATCTGAAAAAGGTCAATTTTAATAAATGTTCTCTACACAAGTGAAAACATACCTGTGTAACCCATAAATTTTCCTGGAATTTCCTGGTTGCAGCATCGGCTACAGAAGATCTGCCCACACAGCCTACAGTGGTGCCTGCGCCGGAAGGTGGTGAATTTTTCACTACAGTCATAACATTCTTTACACTGGCTGTCTGGCATCCAGTACTGCTTTAAATCACTATCCTACAAAGCAGGAAAGAGAAATGAGAAAGTATTCTAAGCTTCTCATTGCCACACAGCCAGTGAGAAGAAAAAAAAATAATGAACCTGGGTTTATTTATAAAAATACAAAATATCTAGGGCTGTCCAGCAATTAAAAATAAGCACAATTAATGGCATGGTTAAAAAGTAATAGACTACCATTTAAATTTTGATATTTTCTACGTTTTCAAGTATATGGATTTCAATTACAACACAGACTATCAAGTGTACACTGCTCACTATTTTTAATATTTGCACTGTAAAATGATAATATGAGGTGAATTGAAAATACAGGTACAGTAGTGCATTCTCTTTGTTGTGAAAATGCAACTTATAAATGTGGATTTTTTTTGTTTCATAACCATACACAAAAACAAAACAATGTAAAGCTTCAGACATACAAGTCCACTCAGTTCTACTTCTTGTTCATCCCAGACATTAAAACAAAACAAGTGTGTTTGTCTCCAGCAAATGTAATGCTACCCACTTCTCATTTACATTGTCACCTGAAAATGAGAAAAAGCATTTGCATAGAACTGTTGTAGCTGGTGCTTCAAGGTAGTTACATGCCAGATTAAATATTTAGTGTATGCTCCTTCCTGCTTCAGCCACCATTCCAGAGGATATGATTCCAGATGACTTTTTTTTTTTTAAGTCATAGGATACTAGAACTGGAAGTAACCTCAAGAGGTCATCGAGTTCGGTCCTGCCACGAGTGCAGGGGACTAAGTACCATCTATACCATATTAAACGACTCTACTAGTTCAACTCTACTTCTTGGTGGGAAGAGGGATGGGGACAGAATTTTATGTCTCCTGCTTGGTGGATTTGTTTTTTTCCCCCCTTAAACCTGCATTCTGTCATTTCATGTTTTAGCAATCTTAGATGATGTCTCAGAACACACTGCTCTTTTTAAGGACACTTTTACAGCTGATTAGATAAAACACAAAGAAGATGGCAAAGTGATATTTCTAATGACATCATTAGAGCTTGCGAACACAGGCTGTTAACAGGGAGTTTAGAGAGGGATTTGGGAAGGGGATGACATACACTTGCCATGCTTTAAAATCTTTTCACTGAACTCCTGCCCCTTCATGGAGGCATTTAACAACAACTGAGAAACCTCTCAGAAGGAAGGCACGTATGGATGGTGATACGCTGTGCGGGTAACAGCAGACCTGTGCCATGCTTGTCTTCCTCCTGGAAGAAGAGAGAGTAACTCACCTTGTGCAGTAATGTCTGTTCTTCGAGATGTGTGTCCCCGTGGGAGCTCCACTCGAGGTGCTTGGCTCGTCCCAGCGCCGCAAACCAGAGGATTTTCAGTAGCAGTAGCCCCCACACTGGACTGTGCATGCGCGACTGCTGCTTCGCACCTCTCAGTTGAGCGTGGTTCTGCTAGTCAGTTTCCTCCCAACTGGAAGCATCTGCAAAAATACAAACAGAAAATTCCGAAGCAGGGAGGAGGGTAGAACGCGGAGCGCCCACGGGGATACGCATCTTGAAGAACAGACGTTACTGCACAAGGTGAGTAACTCTCTCTTCTTCGTCGAGTAGCGTCCCCGAGGGTGCTCCACTCGAGGTGAGTCCACAGCAGTGGTCCAATGGTAGACGTGTGCTTCGGACTCATCATTTCTGTGCTGCAGACAAGACCACTCGGGCTACTGCTGAGTCTGTCTTTAGTGTATTCGCGAGAGTGTAATGACTGGTGAAAGTAAGAGTAGAGGACCAGGTCGCTGCATGGCATATGTCCTGCAATGGTACTCCATGAAGATAGGCAGAGGAAGCCGCCATGTCCCTGGTAAAGTGGGCCCGAGGTCGGCCTGGTAGGGGTTTGTTACATATAGTGTAACAACGTCTGATGCAAGCGACAATCAAGCTGGAGATGCGCTGTGCAGAGAGTGTTTTGCCTCTGGAGTGTTCTGCTGTAGACAGAAACAGTCATTGAGACTTTCAAAAGACATGTGTCCTTTTGAGATAAAATGCGAGTGCTCATCTGACATCTAGGGTGTGCAAATGGGACTCTTCCAGCGAGGAATGAGGCTTTGGTAGAACGTCGTCAAACATATGGGTTCGTTTATACGAAAAGCAGAGTTGACCTTTGGTAAAAAGGCCAGGTGTACACAGCATCGTTGGAGAATTGTGCGTACGGCGGGTCCAACAGAGTAATTCGCTTACTCGACGCGCAGCAAGCAGGAACACCACCATCGTGAGCATCCGTAAATCACACATTGCTAGCGGTTCGAAGGGAGGGCGTGTGATAACGTCCAATACTAAAAGCAAGTCCCATGGCTCCAGTGGGATCCTGTGAGCCAGATAAAGATTGTCGAGCCCCTTCAAAAACCTTTTGGTGAGGGGGTGTGCAAATATTGAATGGCTGTTGATAGGCTGACAGAAAGCGGAAATTGCCGCTAAATGTACTCTGAGGGAAGAAATTGCCAACCCCGCCATCTTTAGGTGCATAATATAATCCAGCACCTGCTGGATAGGCATCGAGAGAGAGTCGAGATCTCTCGCTGCACACCAGGACTGAAAGCGATGCCACTTCTGAAGGTAAGTCTTGTGCATGGTATGCCGCCTGATGTTAATCAGTACGTGTCTCACCTCCTAAGAGCAAATCAACTCCAATGCTTGGAGCCAGCTAGGAGCCACGCTGTCAGGTGCATGCACTCGATGCACGGATGGATCATTGTACTGGGCTGCTGAGATAGTAAATTGAACCGTTCTGGTAGTCATCGTGGTTTGGCGACCGACATCCTCGACAACTGTGTTAGCACACTTTTGGCCCCGGCAGACGTGGCTACCAAAATTATTGTTGCACGCTCCGAGGCTATCTTCTCCAGCACCCTTGGGATGAGCTGGAGAGGGGGAAATGCATACAGCAATTGGTGACGACCCCAGTCCAGCAGGAAGGCATCCCCAAAGAGTCTGTGCCGACGCCTGCTCGTGAACAGTACTGATGGCACTTCCTGTTACGGTGAGTGGTGAAGAGGTCTACCTTTGGGAAGCCCCAGCATTGGAAAAGGTTGCGGACGACTTCGGTGTGCAACTCCCATTCGTGTTGGGAGAAAAACTGCCTGCTGAGGGTGTCAGCAATCACATTGTCCTTGCCATTATCAGTGGGAATAGATCAATGGAGGGATGATAGGAGTTACAATAGAGAACTTTCTGGGTGTCTGGCTGGTGAGTCTTGCCCACATGCTCAGGGTTTAGCGGATCGCCATATTTGGGGTCGGGAAGGAATTTTCCTCCAGGATAGATTGGCAGAGACCCTGGAGGTTTTTCGCCTTCCTCTGTAGCATGGGGTACAGATCACAGCTGGAGAATTCTCTGCATCTTGTGGTCTCCAAAGTATTTGAAGGCTTCAATATCTGAGATATAAGTGAGAGGATTATTCTGGGAGGGGTGGGTGAGATTCTGTGGCCTGCACTGTGCAGGGGGTCAGACTAGATGATCATAATGGTCCCTTCTGACCTTAAAGTCTGAGTCTAAGCCGCAGTCAGGGTAATACCATGCCGGATTGCCCAATTCCAGAGGCAAAGTGCCTCTGCGCAAAGTGGGCGGGACCGTGCACCTCCTTGTCTGTTGACATAATATACTGTGCAAATGTTGTCGATGAGAATCTGTATTGATTGACCTCTAATGATGTGGAGGAAATTCCTGCAAGCATTGAAGACTGCTCAAAGTTCGAGAAGGTTTATGTTGCAACGATTCTTGGGGCGTCCAGAGACTTTGAGCTCAGCTGTCCTGTAGATGGGCGCCCCAGCCGAGTAGGGAGGTGTCTGTCGTGATCTGCAATGATGGCCTCTGGGCATGGAAAGGGACTCCTATTAACACGTTTTTGGGGTCGCCCCACCACGTCAGTGAGGCCCGGACATGCTTGGGAATAGAAACTGTCCTGTTTGTGCTGTGTACCCGGGCCTGTACACAGTGAATAGCCAATGCTGAAGACTGCGGAGATGAAGCCTCACATGCAGAACCACATATGTGGTAGCCGCCATATGTCCCAGGAGCTGCAGACAGGTAAGTATGCGGGATTTAGGAGAAATTGATACAGTCTGTACCAAATCCCAGATTAGATGGAACCTTTTCATGGGTAAGTACGCTCTTGCGGTTGAGGAATCGAGCCTCGCCCCAATGAACTCTAGATCGTGATTCGGTGTAAGAAAAGACTTCTCGAAATTGATTGTGAGACCGAGAGCTTTGAATATTGTGGTAGTAGTAGTAACCGCCCACATAGCTTCATCAAGGGTGGGTACCCTTTAGTAGACAATCATCCAGGTACGGGAAGATGGTAATGTCGAGGCGCCGAAGGTAGGCCGTCACCACTGCGAGGGTCTTGGAAAAAACTCGTGGCGCCACCAAAAGTCAGAAAGGTAGTACTTGGTATTGATAATGGTCGGCTCCCACTACAAACCGAAGGAATCTTCTGTGAGCAGGATGTATCATTATATGGAAGTAGGCGTCCTGTAGGTCAAGGGATGCGAATCAATCCCCTTTGTCGAGAGCCAGAATGATGGAAGACAACGTGACCATTTTGAATTTCTGCTTTCGCAAGTAACGGTTGAGCAGATGCAAGTCCAGGATAGGCCTCCAACCCCCCTGACTTCTTCTAGGTGAGGAAGTAACAAGAATAAAACTCTCCCCCCCAAAACTGGGTTGGTACCCTCTCCACCACTCCTATGGTGAGCAGATGGGAAACCTCTTGTTGTAGAAGGGTCTTGTGAGAGGGGTCCCTGAAAAGGGACGGGGGAAGGGAGAGAGTTGAAGGGAATGGCGTATCCTGAAGTGACTATGTCAAGGACCCACTGGTCAGTAGATATACAAGACCAGTGATGTTGATAAGGTCTCAGGAGATGATGGAACAAGCCTTGCACATTGTTCAGAGCCTCCGACAAGGGGATGGCACACAGTCCCTCAACCAGCACATCAAACCTGCTGTCGACATTGTTGCTGGACTGGCGCCCTGTTAGACTGTTGTTGAC